AAGAAGTGAGAAAATGAGAAGGGAAAATGTGTGAGTGAGAGAAATGTCGAGAGAGAGAAAGGAGATGAGTGAAGAATGGCGGGGAATGGGAGCTTGCGTGTGGAAAATGGAGAGAGAAAGGTAAAAGGACAAAAGGAGGACAGTAAATTCAGAAAAAATCTCCCATAGCTCGGCTCAAACGGCTCTACGTACCAGCTAGGCGAAAACGGCTCGGTTCAAGTGGCCAAATGGCTTAGGAACAGTGGTAGCAACTTCCCTCTTTTAATAATGTAGAGGAAATGAAGAAACTGTCGAATTCAATATATTACTCTGAATTATTTTTTTGCATTTAAATCGATGTGATGGGAAGAGATATTTCTAATGTCTACTAGCTTCTTCACGAAAAGGAGTCAACATCGATTTCAGATTAAATTTTATGCTTGTCATAAATATAATTATATAATTCATTCTCTCTATGTAATATTATCGAAGTATACTAAGTCTTTTTAGGTTAAAAATTTTGTGCGTTAAATAACTGAAAATGAAGAGATAAAATTGGCATGAAGGGCAAAAAGCATTCGTTATACTTTCATTTAAATTTTGAAAGTCGAAGGCTTCAAGATCGATGCTAACTAGAGACGAATTCAAGATCGAACTACAAATCGAACTAATACGTAGATAAAAATTAATTTCCACATAAAAAAAGGGGTCAGGATTGGACCGGGATACAGCCGCCCCTAAATCCGTCTCTGATGCTAGTAGATTGTTCCCGATCGATAGTATGCACGAATATTAATTTGTTAATAAATGTTTTTTTTTTTAATGTTTAATAGACGTGCAAAATAAAATATTTCTGCCATAAATAAATGTGAGTAAAGGACGACAACTCACCAATAGAAAATTAGAAACAAATTTAGTCCAATTTCTTAATGCAATTCCTACATTTTCCCAGTCAGCAGCCTGCAGAAGCAGAGGCTGAAACCAGTGTTCCAGGCTGCAGCACCTAGTTTTTTGCTTTGTCATTTATTATTCTTTCATTATTAAAGCCAATCACAAGCCAAAGTAGCTGCCCAATAACACAAATTAAATAATAAATATTAATTATAACTCAGGACTTATTGGGGTCACTTCCTCATTTACTTTTCGTAAATTAAAACGTATAATATTGGACAATATTAAAAAGTATTAAAATCTTATTATAGAATTATTCTTTATTGCGTTACCTTCGTGATCTTGATGATCAATCTTGTACGAGTTTATTGTAGGAGTGTCGAAAGGGGTTGTTCAACCGTTGAAACTCAGGCCCTATTCGATCATCTGATCAGGCCAGCCTTGGCCATATTTTGAATGGGCCAGCCTGGCACGATGCTTTTCAAAATATGTAATTTTAATAGTCAGGTATTACTCAATTTCAACTTTATTGATATGATTGTGCATGTCATTAGCATTTAATTTTGGACGATCCAAGTTCATTGACGCTAGAAATTTTAGAAAAGGCATGTGTACGATATTTTTTGAAGTCTGTAGATGGCAATTATTATTTACTATTGAAGTTGACTTTAAACATGATTACTAAAAATGTAACGCAAATTTTTTGATACAATTATGAGAATCAAAATCTTGAACTATCACAACTTGTAACTATCATAATCAAAGATTGCATCAAAAGTCACAATTAATCTAAAATCAACAACCGTTCAACAACAAAATGAGGACAAATTTCAAACCATACGATAAAATTTTCCATTTACGGATAGTGCGAAAACAACAAGAAGAAAATTTTATTCCGAGTGAATCTACCGGAACGTTCTTTTGATAGCGAAACATGCACAATTTTTTATTGCAATAAGGTCCACCTAGAAACTCCGAGTGAGGCATGGGCATACAATGCAACACCCAAATCGAAATGGACCCCTCGTGTTGGTCACCCATATTAATTCTTTAACCCGAAACCATTTCCCATTGGCCTCTTGAGGAAGAAAGTACAGATTTAAATCTTTAATGGCTACGAAACAGTGACTATAGACATGCAGAAGAACTTAAATGCTCATTTTTTGCTTCTTTTCCTATAAATTCTAGTTCCACATTTCCAAGAGTTCTTCAAGTTTACTGGATTAGTTTTTTCATACACATTTGTTTGTGCAAGTTGGGTTTAATTTTGTGTGATCGACTCGATAATGGAGATGTGGTTCTCTAGCTATTTTTCTCGGCTTTCTACTGGTTCTCTGTCGACGTTGTTTAGGAAAACTGCGGTGGCTCTACTTGCATGCGTTATGGCTTTAGGTATGTATGTGTATTTTCTTCCACCATCAATTACTAAATACAATACGCAAAGTATCATTGGTTCAACATAGTATCAGAGCATGTGTTGATGACTCGTAGTCGGGCATATATACATGTAGGTGGAGTTACAGTTGGAATAATTGCAGGAGCAATAAAAGGGCAGACGACTGAGACGGGTTTTTTACGCGGGGCTGTTGTTGGTGCTATGGCAGGGGTCATTGCAGCACTTCAATTGATGGAACTCATACTTGATGGAGAGCCATTTTCCAAGGTGACGTATTGTTTTGTGGATTGTAAACCTATTTCGCATATCATGGCATATTCGATAAGCTCGACTTTGCACGAGTGATAAAACATGTTATATATTTTGTCATATGCACATCTTCGTTCTTAATCTTCTCGAGTCCTATCTAGTACATCATACGAAACATAGCCTTGTTTTGTGTTTCTTAATGAACACTATTTATTCACATCCATTACTTCTAATGCAATAAAAGGCAAGAGAACCTACAACTTTGGATCCCTATTGGACTTAGGGATTGTTTGAAAACACTTGATGAAAATTTTTGCAGATTTTGATAAAGTAGAAAAAAAATTGTGCTTGAAAAGTCCCATGAAATTAATGCATGATTAAAATTAATTATTTACTTTAACCTCGACTTTTTAAGCTATACCAAACATGGATTTAATGCATGTATATTTTTAATCTATTATGATTGTATCTAGCAAGAAGTGATGGATGAACATTGTGGGATAATTTTTCAGGTAGCACTAATATGTAGTCTACTAAATGGGAAAATATTTATGGAATGGCTGAGTTCTGCAGTTTTAAAAGCTTGTCAATGGCAGGTAAAGCTACTTTCTTATCTATTCTTATATAGCTTTATTTCATTCCTTGGCCATTAATTTGTTAGCCAAGTGTTACTAATTAATGAAAAAACCTTTAATGCCAGATTAGCACAATGGAAACAAATTTAAGTGAAATTTCAGACATTTTTGAGGTCAATTCTACCAGAGGATTATCCCTAGATGTGATCAAGAAGCTGCCAAGTTACAAATACAGTTCAACAGAGAGAATGAAATCATCTCAAGAGATAAATTGTACTATTTGTTTACAGGTTTGCCTGCGCTTCTTCTTTTTGGTCAAGTTGTAAGGATCTATTTGACAGAGCTTTTGAAAAGTCAAATCCCAACTCAGAGACTAAGAAATTATTTCGAATATGTTTGGATAAATTTTTTTTAAAGTGCTTTGTGTAGCTAAAAGGACTTTTAAAGAAAGTTGACTTAAGCTAGAGAAGTTCTTTTACAAAAAGTAGAAGTTGAAGCAAAAATCCTACCAAACAGACTCTAAAAGTTGAATAAGGACCTAGGTTTCTAACATGATTTAACAATGTAGGTTGAGTTGCGGTATTAATTCTTTCTCTCTCTTTCTCTTACATGTAGGATTTTGAGAATGGAGACCGTGCAAGGATGCTAGCAGGATGTAGACATTCCTTCCATCTACACTGCATAGACGTTTGGCTAATCCAGAACGGGACGTGCCCGATATGTAGAGAAGGTGTTTGATATAATGCAGGACAAATATCAAGTTGGAAGGGAAATTCAGAAGAAATGTTCCATTCAAATCATTGTACCATCTCTTATAATCACAGTATTATGATATTACTCGAAGGATGTTCAAATAACTTGGTGCCTTATTCGAAATCTTTAAGGGGTCATTGAAAAAATAATAATAAAAAGAAATTTCCACAGTATATGACGAAAAATAATATTAGTCCTTCATTCAAATGGAATCCTTGACGAATTCTCTATCATCAAATTAAGGGCCCGTTTGATTCTCATTTTTCATCCATAAAAATGAAAAATATAACCGTTATCCATCACATCGCGCCATCAATTTTGAATTTCCAATTTCTTGTGTAGGCTCAATAACGACTATATTTTTCATTCTCATTCTACAATAATGAGAATCAAAGAGGTTCATATGAAATCTATAACAACAATATATAATAACTCAAAAATACAATTGATAGCATGTACAAGCATAATCATGGTCAGTGAACTTTCTCACCTATTAAGCCCCCGTTTGATCTACATTATTATCTCATTAAAATGAAAAATATAACCGTTATCCATCATATCATGCCATTAATTTTGAATTTTTATCTCGTGTCAGTTGTGTGAAGCCCAATAACAGCTATATATTTCATTCTCATTCTAGAATAATGAGAATCATACGGGGGTGTTAATGTATTGAAGGTTTATTTATTAATATTACTAATAAAAATCGTTTGTAATATTAAATGGCTTTTAATTAAATTTTTTTTTTATCTTTATTAGTTTATTTAACAACAAAAATTATATCAATAAACTTAATTTATAGGGATATTTTTTAAATATCTATCAATGACAACCCAATGGTCAATGTTAAATCTATCGGGCTTTGCCAACGTGGGACCTTATGCGATCATCTAAACTTAATTTTTGAACCATTGGAAATCGTTTTGGGACCATGATAACTGGGGCAGTAATTTATAATGCAGTTCTCCATCGGGCCAGATTTCATTCTCTTTGTGAAAAATAAAATAATCAAAGAGCAAGTGAGATTATAATACGCAGAAGCAGAGAAGTTTCACTTTGAAGTCACTGGTAATTTATCTGTAAAACATTGCGTTACAAATAGTACACTAAGCTGATCATCTACAAAATGGATGCTAAATTACCTGAATAAATAAAAATAAAGACCTACGTCGATTTTCCCACCGGCTCAATCATGTTCTTGGATTTGTTTAGATTTTGGAATGGCATCATTATCAATCCTGGTTACAAGAAGGAACAGAGAACCAGAAACACAATTCCACGACATTCATCGTATGCAGGGTTTTTCATAAGATATGAATAGTTTCAGCCAGAAGAATAGATTTTCATGGTTGGAGATTGAAACCTGGCTTGCTGGTCAGTCTGCTGAGCAGGCTCTAGGCATGCAGAATTTGCTGTTTTCTTTTTAAATTTTTTGCTTTAAGACCTGGCGCAACTGGATTTTTTGACTTTCCATCCTTGCCTCCAAAAGTTTCGCTTTCAAACTACTCTTCTGAGCGCTACGTGGCCATTCAATGCACCCTTTCATCCCTCGCGTTATATTTGGATTCCCCGATTCAGGCGAGCTCCATTGTCCAACCAAATCTTGGAGATTAAACCCATCTTTAACCGAACCACAATCTGAAGACATGGTAGCTCCATTAGAAAGCCTGCCGTTTGAAAGCCTTCCATTTATTCCCTCGACTGAAATGAACTTGTAATTGTCACCACCATTGCTCGGGCATGATCTCCAGAGCCTGGATATGGAAGATACCTTTTTCGGATGTCGTGCGGGCATAGAGCAGACTTCACTAATTTCAGTGATAGGCGTTTCCTCGCCCTCATTTTCATCCCACTCATTTCCACATCTTGAAATATTACTTGGACGAAAATTTTTATTGGTCGAGGGATCACTTCCATCTGGGGAATAACTTGAACCCTGATCTTCAAGACGGCTCACCGTTTCCCATTCACTTGTGTCTTCTTCTAATTCACCACTTCGGTTGAGGTATGCATTAGAATGTCTATTAGCACTATTGTCTTTATTGAACATATTCAATTCAGGACTCACTGTATGAATTTTGGAGGCGTGGCTAGCTGGACTGTACTGAACACATGGTTCGATCTCCCTCTCATTGGGTTCGCTAAAATTAACATCTTCAAAGACAGAAAACATGTCATCTGGATTTGGGGGTTCATAAGTGAAATCCCGGATGTCTTGTATATTCACAGAGGCAGCTGCCTGTCGAAGGAACTCTGCCTTCTTCATCTCCTCTGCATTTCGGTTTGAGCTTCGAGAATTTAGGAAGGATTCGAGTTCTGCTATTAACACGTTCATCTGAGAATACTTCTCTTCAAGCATCACCTTTACATCAACTAGCTTCATCTGGACTCGTTCTTCGCGCCAGACCTCGGCCATCTGCAACATCTTCCTCTCTTCTTCCACCTCCTCTAGGAATTTCATCGATTCTCTTCTCAGTGCTTCGACTTCAGCTTTGTCGTCTCCAATTTCCTTGGCTAGTTCATCACAGACTTCCTCTATCAACTCTCTGGCCTTTCTCTCTTTCTCATAATCATGCACATAGCGCTTAGCTGATAACTTGGCATCAGCTAACTCATTGAGCAACTTAGAATTCACTTTTTCCAGCCTTTGACGGTTTTTCCTCTCTCTGCTCAAGTCAGCTTTTATGTCATCTATAATTGCACGAATTTTCTCATGTTCTCGGCTACGCCATGCAGCCCTTTCCTCACTGAGTTTTTTCAAGAAATGCTCGAGTTTTTTTTTCGAAGACCGGCGCTCATTCTCAAGTTCATTGATTCTGGCTCGAGCCTGCTCAAGTTCTGCCTCAAGTGCAGATATTACTGGAGCAGCAGTTGCTTGTTTGTCAAGGTGTTTCAGCTGGCCAAATATCTTCTTTATTTCATCCGATGACTTCCAGCCAACAGGATCCCACTTTGTAGCCCCCTCCATTGCAGAATTTGAAAATTGAAAAGAGGGCTCAAACTACAAGTAAATATGAGCATGTCTAAGTTCTGATAAGCAAAAATTGTACAGATGCAAAGGCTGAACAGAAAATATAAGCAAGCATCTAACATGGTGCCGAGCGAATCACATTATACAAGATAAGGTCGCTAGCAGTTTAGATCATAGTCATTTTGGAATAACAAAACACTCATATATCTATCAGAAAAAAGACGTACCTTAAATGAAAGCCCATTTCTTGGGCCAGACACAGAATGCGGACTATGTAACAGATCCTTTTCAGGAGAATTAAGTGATTTACTAATATGATGACCATGAACGGGGACCACCCCAACATGAGCACCTCCAGACTGCAAAAACGAAACAACCAGTATAAAGAATCATAATTGCCAGGAACTGGCAAAGAAAAACTTTAATGGACTTCAAAACCATACCTACCGGCTATAGACTTAAAATACATTAAAACCGAAGAAATCAATGTGTACAGATGACACGTAGTACCATATAAAGGAAAAAGATTATGGGTCCCCAAAGTGCTATCACACACCTCAAATAAAGAACAAATATTATGTGCAAATTCAATACTGCTATTAAAGGCAAATGCAACAATAAGAATGCCTAAGGATTCTCCTACTGGGAATCAATAATTTAGATGAAATTGAAATTAACAGAAATGCAATTAAACCATAATTTGTACTTGTCTTTTTCTACTTATTTTAAGTTCTTAATTAACAAAAGCAAAATCAATGCATTAAAACACCTTCCAAATTGATCGAGGAAAAGTAGTACACAAGATTCATCTTAAATACAAGCTAATTATGAAGGCAAAATAAATAAATAAAAGTATACATGAAACGATGTGAAAAGCTCTGAAAAGTGTCTTTTTGAAATTTGAATGGGCAGTACCTGAAACCCTAACCTTTGGCCACCATTAATCTGAAACTTCGGCAACTGAAGCCGCCAGAGTCCGGCAGCAAGTTTCCTAGCCGATACATTAACCCTAACTCTCCTGCCACTTTTCCGTTTAACTTCAGCTGACGATTTCTCCTCTTTAGTGGAAGCATCGTTGTCCTTATCTTCGTCAAACTTCCATCTGAGCAAAGGTGTCTCCGGGCGGCTGTTCCTTTTCCCAGATGGTAATCCGACTTCCTTCCTTAACCGAACTCTGGTGCCAGAAGCCTTGATTTTCCGATGAGGCAGCTTACTTCGACAAGTAGGGTTGTGAGACGGATCTGATTTTGTCGACGGATTGAGAGTTGCTTTAGGCAGTGGGATTCCTTGAGCGGATGTGTTGATCTTTTCTACATTTATCTTCATTGTCTCTGTAGCTCAGATCCAGCCATTACAGACTTATTCCATTTATTGAACTTGTGTGTTTTGGGGTTTTTGATGTTAAAGCCTTCCTCCTTGAGGTGGGCACATTCGAGTTGGGGTTGGGGGACCCTGTGATCTCTTTCAGAGAGTGGAGGAGAGCTGGGGAAGTGGACCTGTGCGTGAGAGAATTGGAGAGCGAGAATAGACAGTCAGCGGCTCGTATTTCATCTAGAGGAACCTTAAAAAAGTGTTTTAACTAAAGATGATTGAAACGGTGTCACATGAAGTACTAATGAGGAATCTTACTATGATTTAATATCTAATAATTGGCAAAATGGTCCTTACATATTGACCTGGCGCATTAGGAGGTTAATAGGGTGTTTGACACCCATTTTTTGTATAATAGAATTTTTAGAATAGTGATTGATGGGAAAATGTGTGGTGAAAAAGTTATGAAAAGTTTTAGATTTGTGTGTAATATTATTTTATTAGAAGAATGTGTGATTGAAATGAAGAAGGAGAAAAAAAAGAGAGAATGAGAATTGATGTCAAACAGGGGATAAATGAGGTGAGCAGTTCAATTCGCTTACTGTCAAACTTGGCTCCCGATTTGTCATTTTTTAATAAAAAATAATAGATTTCACTTAGTATTGTGAGTCAGCTTGCAAATCGATGAGCTCGTTAGCAAACTCGTGTGAGTTGACAAGCGACTCACACGAGAAATTTGTTGTTCAGCTTGCATCCTCCCCCGCCCGAGGTGATCCGAGTCGATGAATGGCTCGCTCTCCTCAACACCCCTATTGTGCACAAATTATTCCTATTTTTTTGTTTTTGGCAACGATCCTGTAATTGTGTTGGATGTGTGTTCAAATAATCTTTTTAAAGGTTGCATTGAATCATGTAGTTAATTTTGTGGCTATGAAATTGTGAAGTACGAGGTGGGGGTAAAAATAGCGAACCCAATTATGCAATTTTTAATTAATTTAGTTTAACAGAAAAAATGGTTTTTTATAGTAATACATAAAATTATTGAATTGCTTTGCAAAACTTTATGAGAGATTAATGCATAAGTTGGTGGTAAAGATATTGTTTGAAGATAATGAATTGGATCGGATCAAATCTACTTCTTCTGTTTGCTTTTATTAGTAGCCCAATTTAATTGGGCCTAGCCCAAACCATTTAATAAATTGAAGAGAAAATTAGACTAGAGGGTGTTTTGAAAAATCATTTTAAAAGAATAAGGCTGTGTTTGATTAGCCACAATTTCCATGGAAAATGGAAAATTTTTTCCATTTTCCATCTTTTGCGCTGTTTGATAACCTAAATTTTCCACGGAAAATATTTTCCCACCCCACCCGCCACGTCANTCACTTTAATGGACAATTTTCATGTAAAACAAAGTCAAACGAACACTAAATTTTGATAAAAAAAAAATGATTTTTTAGGAAACAATTTTTTTTTCATTTTTTTTTTTACATTTTGGAAATGGAAACAAATTTTATAACCAATTGTGGAAAAAAATATCACTTTAATGGACAATTTTCATGTAAAACAAAGTCAAACGAATAGAAAATTTAAAAAATTTCCGGGTGGAAAATTATATCAATCAAACAAACTTGAAATCATTTTCCCTGCAAAACATTTTCTAGGCAAATCTTTTCCCTGTAAAATATTTTATTTCCACCCTTGCAATCAAACGTACCCTAAGTGATTACAAAGTATAAAATAGAGCATATTTTCATTAATTTTAAAATTAAACCCTAATACTCTTATTTTATACTTTCTTCTCTATTTAGTCTCTAGAATAATTGGGAAACTTGTTCGATATTCATCTGCTCAGCATCTGATTATTGTTATGTACTATGCAGACTTCTATTGTCACTTTTTCAATTGTATGAAACCCATTTAAGAAAATGCTTTGAGATCTATCAATGTTGCTCTTTCTTTGCCTGATGGGAGCAAAGAGAATAATCTCGATCCCAATGTCCTTATAAGATACTAATTTTGCTACGAGGGCGCAGAAAATTTATAAATTTGTTGAGATTTGTTATACCATTAAATAGACAAATGTATCATGCCTTACTCAAATCCTATATTAGTGCTGGTAGGAAGTGGATGGACTTTTAAACTCCATGAGAGATGATAATTAAGCCGAAGATGAAGAAACATAAAATATCTTATCCAAGAAATAAATAAAGTTTAAAAACTTTCTCCTATTTTCGAAGATGGAATTCAGTTTACGAACAGCTAGGCTGTTACAGCCCTTTGAATTATATGGTTCTATCATTGACATAATATTACGCTCTACAAGTTTATGTGGTTCCATCAAGTGTTCCAGTGTATATTGGGCAAAATTGAACTCTACACATAGAAATATCAACTTGGTCAAGGTGTTCGCTTACCATCAACATATCAAAAACGTTAAGTTATAAGAGCCAAAACAAGTAACGTCATAGCAGAAATGAAAAAATGAAAAAAACTAATTCTACTTTATAGAATATCATTTTTTCATATTCTCATTTTTGCAAACACATTAGTGCATCAATTGAATTGATTCTAAGAAATACGAATTGAATGCAAGATTAAAATAAAATTTGAATTCGTATATTTAATTTTTTCAAAAACACACACATATGCATCTAGTTAATTGCTCTCATGAGATACTACGACTTTTTTTAGATATGTCACTTTTTTACATTCTCATTTTCGTAAACACCTTGGTTGCATAAATTGAATTAATTCTAAGAGATATGAATTGAATATAAGATTAAAGCAATATTTGAATTCGTACATCTAAATTTCCAAAAACACACACACATATACATCTAATTAAATACTCCAATGAGATACTACGACTTTTTTTCAAAGAAAAGTGTTAGAACATCACTTTTTAACTCTCCCTTTTTTTCTCAAACACATTGGATGCATCGATTGAATTGATTCAAAAAAATATGAATTGAATGCCAGAATAAAACAATTTTTGAAGTTCCATCTTTAAATTTTCAAAAATATACACGTATGCATCTAATTAATTAATCTAATAAGATACTGCGACATTTCTTAGAAAAGTAATAAAATGTCACTTTTTCACATTCTCATTTTCGCAACCACCTTGGATGTATCAATCGAATTGATTCAAATAAATATGAATTGATTAAAATAATATTTGAATTCATATATTTAAATTTTCAAAAATACACTCGTTTACATAGTTAATTCCTCCAATGAGATACTGCAAGTTTTTGTAGAAAAGTAACAAAATGTCACATTTTCACATTCTCATTGTCACACACACTTTGGAAGCATCAATTTAATTGATTTAAAGAAATATGAATTGAATTCGAGATTAAAACAATGTTTGAATTTGTATATTTAAATTTTTAAAAATATACATGTATGCATCTAGTTAATTGTTCCAATAAAAAATTACAATTTTTTATATAGAAAAGTGACAGAATGCCACCTTTTCACATTCTTATTTTCACACACTCATTGAATGTATCAATTGAATTGATTCAAATAAATATGAAGTCAATGCAAGATTAAAACAATGTTTGAATTCATATATTTAAATTTCAAAAAACAAACACGTATGCATCTAGTTTATTGCTCTAATAGATACTGTGACTTTTAATAGAGAAGTTACAAATTTTCATTTTTTTCACATTCTCATTTCCTCAAACAACTTTGATGCTTCAATTGAATTGATTCAAAGAAATATAATTGAATTCAAGATTAAGCCCCCATTCTGAAGAAAAAATGTGTTTTGGAATATTATTTTTGGAGATTGTGTGGTTAAAAATTAAGAAAAAGTTTTCGATTTATGTGTAAAACTATTTTATTGAAGAATGTGGGTGAAAATGAGTTTTTGATAAAATGGGCTCAAGCAAGTGCTAAAACAAGGTTTGAATTCATATATTTAAATTTTAAAAATACACACGTATACAACTAGTTAATTGCTCTAATGGGATATTACGACATTTTCATAGCAAAGTGACAGAATGTTACTTTTTCATATTCTCATTTTCACAAACACTTTGGATGCATCAATTGAATTGATTCAAATAAATATGAATTGAATACAAGAATAAAACAATATTTGAAATCGTATGTTTAAATTTTTAAAACACACACACACACATTTGCATTAAATTAATTGCTCCAATGCGATATTGCGACTTTTTATAGAAATGTCATTTTTTCACATTCTCATTTTTCGCAAACACGCTGGATGTATCAATTAAATTGATTTAAAAAAATATGAATTAAATGCAAGATTAAAGCAATGTTTGGATACAAAGTTTGAATTCGTATATTTAAATTTTCGAAAATACACACGTATGCATCTAATTAATTGCTCAAATGAGATATTGCGACTTCATATTCTCAAATACCTTGAATGCATCAAATGGATTGATTCAAACTTATTTTTTCATATGCATTAATCCAATCAATTTCCTCTCAAGATAATAATGTTATTTTCAAATTTTTTTTAGTCATGGTATCAAAAATTGAATTTTCATATAGACTAACTCATCACTATTAATTCATAGTTGGATTTTCATGTATCAAAAGTTTAGACGAAGAAAGAATAAGGAAAATGGAAAATAAAAATAAAAATCTATCTTATATTTGTCTCATCTTTGATGGTAAAATGCATCTAAAAAAAAAATTCATAAATAAAATTGCAACAGATCATAAAAATTATCAAAGTGATTTTACAGTAATTCAAAACCCTCCATTCTCTCTCTCTCTCTCTCTCTCTCACTCTCTCTCTCTCTACCCCTCCTTAAACTCCTCTCTTCATACAGTAGCCGCTGTAGCGGCGATCCCTCTATTTTGTTGGTTATTGGAGTGGTGGTTGCGTTAGCGGTGGTTTTAATGTTTTGGGGTTGTTTATTTTTTGTTGGTAGTTTTTGGTGGTGGTGGCGGTTGTGGATCTGGAAGTGATGGTAGTGGCTCTTATTTTTAATCTGGTGAGGTTGTGGTGATGTTGGCAACGA